ACATATAAAATATCGCCACATATTAATGTGAGGTCAGTATGCTAACTGGGGAAGAAGTCTGTCAAATCCACGCATCAACTTTTGACTTGACTCTAAAAGCTGAAGATATGTCCATTCCTCTGCTGTTCTGGATTCCAAAAGCTCCAGAACAATCCGTACAAGGAGATATATTTGTTTGATAGGCATTACTTAGAGTCCTGCTTGAAAACGGTATAATGATCTATACCGAAACGTTGCTTTTTACAAAAGAGTTGTTATCCATAAAATTGTGTCCACCTTGACAAGGAGATCTATTGCTGGGTTCAGCAATTGCACCACGGAAACTCTATACCAAGGATTAGCCATTATCCTTAATTTGTTTGTGACGGCTGACATTGGGGGCAGGCTACGCTCACCGTTTGGCGAACACCTGGTGTCATCACTGTTTGATAGTGGTTCACATGCACATGCTTGTATTGATGCAGTCGGAATCGGAATGGTACAGTAAGCGCTGAGTCATATATATAAGAAGTGTGTGAGCCTTGTATTTAAAGTTCATTTAACGGCAGCAGACTCTGCACAGAAGAAGTTTTTAGTTTCAACAAAATCAGTTAATGCGCTGTCGTGTCATGAGATTTTCTGGCCCACATGATCACTTGATTGTCTGGTCAAGCGCCGATTGTTTACAGACCGTCGTACTATGGTTGGTTGGTTTGATGTTTAACGCCGCACTCAGCTATTTGACGGCGGTCTGTAAATAATCGAGTCTGGACCAGACAATCCAGTGATTGATATCATGAACATCGATCCGCGCAATTGGTAAGCTAATGTTTCACAGAAGTGGTATTGTCTGTCAGTGATTTAGAACACGAGTATCATACTATTCTAGATATACCTCAAAGTGTCTGGATAGATTATTATTCAAGGTATTCATACCCATACCCACAATTAAGGCCAACTATCCACAAGTATAAATAGTCTCAATTTTACTAACAGTATGCATATATGGTATTTTGTTCCACAAAACCCTGTTCGCCCCTATTATGTTTCTGGGTTTGTCAGCAACATACCCGTACTTGTGAGTTTCACCAAAGAAGTGAACGTCTGAAACTGACATCACTGCGGGCTTTCCTCCAACGTTAAGTGGGGCGGTCGGGTAGGCTAGTGGTTAAAGCGTTCGCTCGTCACGCCGAAGACTCGAGTTCAATTCCCGACATGGGTACAATGTGTGAACCCCATTGCTGGTGTTCCCCGCCGTGATATTGCTGGAATATAGCTAAAAGTGGCGTAAAACCATACTCACTCACTCACTCACTCACACCAACGTTAAGTTGACGCGGCATGATATAACTGGAATACCTTTGAAAACGGGGTTACGACCCACCTCACTTACTCCAAAGAACATTGGCCAATATGCTACATTTATCAGTATTCCTTTCCATACATTGACAACATGTTGTCTATAAACACATTCATATCTGGTATGTTTGGTTAATTTGAGGTAAACAAATCATAACTTTTGTCACACACGAATGATTTTATAGTATAGATTTGTAGATTTACATTTAGTACAGGGAATTCGTGTTTTCATTGAAGTTATGACAATAATACAATGTGACTTAAGTATACTCAGTGTGATTCACCAGCTAGGAAGTTTGAAGTTTGATTACATACTTGTTTTCAGTGCTGACATTGAACACACTTTCAATGCTGGTTGTCATCTTGAAAATATTCGACTACAAACCCAGTCAATGCAAATAGAATTGGAAATCTGTGAAGTGAAAATAAAATGTTATCACAGTGAGTGAGTGAGGTTTAAATCCGTTTTGAACAATATTCCAGTTTCATGCAATGTAGTGGGTATCACGGATATGGCGCTGACAAACCTAGAAACATAATCGGGGCGTAACGGGATTCGAACCCACAACCATAGGTTTCTGGGGTGCCCAAGGGACGCAACTCTGCACAGTGACATGGAACATCTTAGACGACTTGGCCACCCGTAGCCACCCGTGCCTTCGTAACCATATTCATGTATGTATTTGTTCTTCACAGTCATACAATGGAAATGACAATTGTTGTTTCAACAGTCATAAAATCCGTGCTGTTTATAACAGTGTGGCACTACAGACCCGTGAAGATCCGGGTTAGAATAGGTCTTCAGCAACCCATGCTTGCCGTGAGAGGCGACTATGCATGTGGTAAGAGGCGACTAACGGTATAGGGTGGTCAGGCTCGCTGACTTGGTTGATGCATGTCATCGTATCCCGATTGCGTGGATCGATGCTCATGATGCCTATCATGGGATTGTCTGGCCCAGACTCGATTATTTACAGACCGCCGTCACACAGCTGGAATATTGCTGAGTGTTCGGATAAACAACAAACAAACAGGTCTCACCTTACTCCAGTATCCAGTAACGTTTGCCTGTGCCGATCTTTATAATGCAGTTTAAAATGCTACTGTTTGATGCGGTAGCATAGCTGCACATTCTGAGATGTAGGTTGAAATTCAATTAACGTTTATTGTGTGTGGTAGTTCCATGGCATCAGTGCTTCTCAGATCAAGGTCCAAATACTTCTTATGAATAACATTTCACCATGAACAAATTATGCCCACGTCAACGGGCGCCTGGGATGTTGTGCATTCATATCAACATATTATCCAAAACATCTCGTTCCCTCGACTGTTTGATTTCTCGACTTAGTATGGCGTTTCCACAGCTTATTATGATCTAGTTCTGACACCCTAGTGTCTCATGCCCTTGAACGTATATATCGCGTGATAATTTGTCCATCTCTTGTCATCCTTTAGGTGTTCTTACATTTGGTGAATTTGCTGTTTACAATTTCGGGTCGTCTATAAGCGGAATGTGAAATGGAATGTCTTGGCCACACGTATGTGTTATGGGCAGTAAAGTGAAGGGCACGAAGGGGTCCCTAGGTTGTATACACCCCTTATTCTTGTCGGAATAGTTAATCAGTCAATCATGAAAGGCAATGAATGCATTTTGAAATTTGATTTGAGAACGACTAGAATATTGATGGATCATAATTGAAATATATATAAAGAATTGTTTGAAGCGTTACAGACCTTTCATACAGACATGAAAACCTTGTTTTCAGCGAAATATTCATCACAATCTTTATGATATATCGATACATGTAACGAGTTAGTATTCAGTTTCGATGGAGATAGATCACGGCAGAAAAAAGATGCGGGTTGCTGCATATTCAACAACAATCCACAGTGTACAAATAATAGAATTACGTCAAAACTCCATGGCAACGCTGCGTCACAAATTGCTGAAAAATAACGTACGCTGTACCTTGTCAGCTCAACCCTACATGAATATGTATCTCGACGCAACTACAGTAGCAGAGTAATAGCGAGTTAATGAAACCATGTGACAGATCTATGAGACGGAAATTATGGCCCGTGCATAATATACACGTCATATTTGCACCGAATGGCAGTTAGAAAGTATCGTGTTATTTTATTGCACATTTATGCGAACATCAATTAAATTAGCAAAACATGAGCACGCTGGCGCTCCTTTTTTCGATGTGTAATATCGCTGTGACTGATATGTATATATGTATTGCGTGTTGTTACAAGTTACTTTTACAAAGCGATCAAAACAACTTCAAGTAAATGTAGATGGATCGTGCACCAAAGTCAGGGTCACGCCTACGTCCGCAGAAGTGAAGACATGTAAGTTAAAGTTTCGTTTTATTATCAACTTAGAGAGTGAGTGAGTGAGTTGGGTTTAACGCCGCTTTTACATTATTTCAGTTATATTACGGGTTTATCAACTGAGACGTTTAGTGTTATCATTACAGAGACGGGCACCTTGGTGCTCTCATGGGCAGCTCTCGTGTCTGAAGGTGACGGACCTACCTCCCACTGTTAATGTGTCAGTCCTCAAATATAATTACGTCACTATATGGCTGACATATTGCCGATGTGACGTTAATTCTTAACTCACTCACTCAAATATAATTATCATGATATACCATCCGCTTGTTTATCCAATAATAAAAAAACACATTATTCATGCTTGCTAAATTTGTGTTCATGTGTTCGTGATTGATGGAAATGTAGATCATTAAGTTATAACCAGCGCATATTTCTACATTACAGTATATAAGTAAATGCATGGGTAATATGGGTCTGTTGGCTTAAGAACAATAAATATTGTCATTGTCACTGTTAAAACAACTACATGTACATGCAGATACGTCGTGACCCAAGGCAGTCTCCCGCCCACGCCTGTAGAAGTACATGCATGTTAAAGTTTCGTGTTATTAACAACAGAGACGGACACCTTGCTGCTCTAACGGGCAGCTCTCGTGTCGAGACGCATATGTCTGAAGGTAACAGACCTATCTCACGCTGTTACTGTGTCAGCTGTACTGCTAACATATTACCTTGTTATCTATTGTCGAAATACACACAGAGATTTAACACGAAACCGGGGTTATTTAAGATCGTGTTTTCCATGATAAAAACGACAAAAATACAAGATATAATAAACGTGTCCACTTAATACAAAGGGTTCTAACTAAACTTCTGGTTGATGCACGAGTTACAGCAGCGACCTTATATTATGTGAAACTCGTCAATGGTATTGTGAGAAGAGGATACGTTTTCTTGAATATGAAATATTTCACATTGGTGTATTGGGGTGGAGTTTTTCAAACCCCGACATATAAACACAGATACAAACTTGGTATATATGTTATACATATTCAACACTGCAGAATCAAACCTCATTTAAGAAGTCCATTGAAGCCGTTATGAACTTCATGAAATGTTCTTCTTTCCACACAATTATACAGCAAGCGTGACAGTGGTATCTGACAGTGGTATTCTTATCGATTTTTAATTAAATTTGACATTTGATAAATTATACTATTTTAGATTATAGAACATCAAAAAAACATTAAAGTATCTGGATAAACAACAGGCAACTTAGCCAAGCTGTTCGCGTTTACAACCTCGAGCCGATATAACCATACCTTACAAGTTGAGAGGTCCAAGTTGACTCACAGTTTGAGGCGGGACACGGTTAAAGTTAGTGCAAACTTGCAGTTCACTCCGGAATCTGCCCGTCCCACCACACAGCCCTCGTATCCAGACTTTGTGAAAGTACAATGCGTCAAAACGACAGCAAGGCTCGGTCAGTTTGTTCAACGCCACGGCCAGAATTAAAGAGTCTCTTCATTAGCTGGCCTCTCAGATCAATCCATATACCGTAACACCGGTGTGAGCTGAGGAGACTGGTGGAGCAGCAAGCTCTGTACGGCTGGTGTTGAGTGGACGACTGAGTTCTGATTAGAGGGAACTCCTCCACACACGAGTGTACGGAGCTTGGTGCGGCGTCCACATCACAGCCAACCACATTAGTTATCGACTGCTGGGCTTCTGTTGCTGATAGTTTTGCTTTGATCGTTGGAAGAGGGGGAACTCTCCTCAGAGATTATAGTTCACGAATGGGAAGTTATATTGCTTGAAAACCTTGTTTGTTTGATTTATCCTGGTATTTACAAGTTAATGGTAACCTATCGAGGAAATTAAGAGCACAAATTGTTTGAGTGAGTGCGTAAGTGAGTGAATGAGTGAGTGCGTGAGTGAATGAGTGAGTGCGTAAGTGTGTGAATGAGTGAGTGAGTGAGTCAAAATGACGTCATGTAAAAATTACAAATCCTGTCAGTGAGAAGAAGGTTTTAAAATAGGGACATTCAGAAAAAAAGTAAATTATCAATTTTAATCGGGCTTTAATTTATTTGTTATCAATGATCAGCTTTTCAATTAAAACCACTTTCACAGATTCGTTAGGAGGTATTAGCAATGGCGTCTTTTAGCAATATCTAGGCTCCCTGGATCCTCATGTTTGAGATAGAGTATAAGTGTATATGAGAGTATATGTGTCTATCAATCAGCCTAGATGACCATGGGGTGTTGAGAGGCTTAATTGGTAAAGCGTTCGCTCGTCACGCCGAAAACCCGGGTTCGATACCCCTCATTAGTAGAATGCATGAAACCCATTTCTGGTGTCCCCCGACGTGATATTGCTACGTAATACCATACTCACTTCGTAAATGAACACTGCTTTGTGTGACGAAGGTAACGCACAACCACAAATACATTTCAGTTTACGAGTTTAGAAATAGAAACAGAAATAAACTTTTTATCATCTTATTAAATGTAATGTCTGAATTTACAACACCATATTAAGAGGAACGTCCAGAAACGAAAGCAATAGAAGCGAAGTGTTAGTTCACTCTCTGTGCTTAGACAAGACTTATCAGTTGCTTATGAACAGTTTTAAAATAAATTTACATTGTCAATATGTGTCGATATGGTTTTATGTTCTCTGATATACATTTAAAAAAAATGTTTACTCTATATATTGAAAACACCAAGGATGTGTGGGTTTCGAGCCTAGTCTTTAGAACCTAACTATTTGAAACCAACGTTCTATCTTCTTTTCGTTAGAGACTTCTTCTCAAGAGTAGAAATAAAAAGTATAGATAAATATGTCCTTTAGCGCGAACTTGTTTTCGCGATAATTCAAAACTTATTCAAATCTCCAGAGAATAATGAGTCTTGATTTTCTGCAGACAGATTCTATATTGTGTAACATTGTGATGAAAACTGTGTGAATGAATCACTGCATATCTGTGATAACACCAAGTGTTCGCGAACACCGAACCATGACCAAGTCACCGACATGAACACGTCGTATATTAAGTCGTCTCGCACGATAAGGATTAAATAATCTAAACAGCAAACGTTTGTGAAAACATTTTGAATATCTTTCAGGTTCTTCTTTTTTAATTCCAGAGGGGTAATGTAGTCTTAGGATCAATGGCTCTACAATGGGATTCAGATTTCTTCTTGTCCTGACATTAAGCGATGGCTAAACAGATCACATTGTTTAAGACTTGTGTTGTAAATGTTGATCTATACATTAAACGTTATCGCCAGAGAATAACAAGTCTCGATTATCTGCCGCAACACATTCCATTGGGTGTAAAGACTAAATAGTGGTGAAAATTATGTAAATTGATCACTGAAAAGCATGAATGAAGCCAGATGTTCGTGAAGACGCTAAGCATGTCCTGCTCTACCGGTAAAACCCACTCCTCACACAATCGGAACAAAAAGTAAGTATCTGTTTGGTGCCTAACGCCGCACTCGGCAATATTCCTGCCATACGACGACAGCCTGTAGAAGAATCGTGTCTCACCTCAACAATCACCGACACGGCAGCGAAGGGAATCTACGTCATTGGATCTTGTAGAACCACGAAGAAACGGATATGATTGTAGTTACTATTTTCGATAGTAATTGGCAGAAGAAAACCATACTTGTGACGACATAAAACATAAATAAATGTGATCAGGAATAAATAGTCAAATGGAAAATTGCGAAGCCTCGATACTTGAAGATATATTTGTTTTAGCGCTATTGCACACACTTGGCTGGGAAAGAGAGGTAACGCTGTGTTAGGATACAGGTGAATATTATTTGCAATCATCATCTAATCTCAATCTTTTGTCATTATTGACGATATAGCAAATATAGTTGTACATGTGATGATATTTTTCTTGAGTGCTTGGCACTATGCCATTGTTCTTTTTGAAGTTTCAAACACATTGAATCGAGGACGTTATCCCCTCCCATCAGACTACATTACAAGTGCAACTAATATCTAAACGATATACATTCCTCCTACTTGCCGTACTGTCCTCATGTGAAGGCACTGTGTGTTTTAATACTGCCAGCTTCCTCAGAATGTGCCTTGATCAACAGTGCCTTGATGGGTTTTTGTTTTGTTTCTAAAAACGACATATATTTTGTAATACAAGTAATACATTGAAACTAGGATCAAGCATTATTGGCTATTACGGAGAGGATGTTTCTCAGTGAGTCATTTATATAATTGTCACTTCTCTTTTGCTTTTAATGACAACTGGAAACTATTTTGTCAGACAATCGAGATTTATTTTTCCCTGGACGTTCACTTATATTGATAATGACTGACAATTACTTGCTGCATAAGGTCTACAGGTGTTCAATAATGAATGACAATTATTCACTAGTTACCTGGAGGCCGCGACCCTTGGGCACGCCAGAAACTTATGCTCCGAGTATGTTTCTATGCTTGTCAGCACCTCACCCTTGCTCGTGGGTTTCACCAAAGTGGTCTGCGTCTGTGACCTGAATCATTTAGAACTTCCTTCCCACATAAAACTGATGTGCCGTGATATAACTGTAATATTGCCCAAAGCGACATTAAATAAAGCGACAAAACCCTTTCCGTTGCCAACAGAAATCTCTGCATAAAGCAAAGTCGATAAAACACAGCTCACTCTCTAGTTATATATAGCTCCAAGCTGATAAACATAATATATATATATATCATCTGGAAATGGGGACACAGTTCTAAAAACAGCACGACCTTCGAGGATCCAGGGAGGTGACATATCTACTCATCATTTGACATCCACAGACACATGTCACCTTTGCTATTCTGGTCATGCCATGGATACAAGGTAGATACCATCTAACACCTCGCGGATATAAAGTTGTAGATATAAATGCTGTGATCAAACAATTGGAATCAAGTGTGATTTCTGGACAGTGATGTTTCCAATACCCGAAGCCCTGCAGCTACTGTAAGTGATTTGATGAAGACTCCATTTCGCCTGCAGACGTGAACAAAGATTTTTATCCAGTTCCCACAGTGACGCTTTATCGACTTGCTCGCAGGTGACCTGAAGAGCACTGGCTGATAAGGTACAACCGTAATGAAGACTTTAACACAACACTCTCACAGACGTGAACTCTGGACGCTTCTATTCCTGATACAGGGAGAATTAACGATTGTATACGTGATCTCTATCTAAAAGCTGACTATTACTTCATTGAGTACATTATACAGGTTGCATTACTTTTTCGTAAAGCTTAATGGTACTCACGATATTGACATTGTAGTTTAATAAGGTTAATGAATGTGCTTGTCCATCTCAATACCCGATACGTATGGCTGTAAATACAGCGACGAAACCCTTTACATATCCAATAGTAATATGGAGTCGATAATACGATTCCGACTGCATCATGAGCATGTGTTTAGGAATCACTATTAAACAGTGATGAGACCAGGTGTTCTTGAGAAGCTGAGCGCATCCTGCCCCACCGATGGCACCCGTCACAAACAATGCTAAGTTAAGTCAATTGTTCACCTGAAAAAAAACGGGAACAAATGGTACAAGTCAACATAGGGAATTGCATCGGACATAAGTTTTGTCACTGATGCGACAAATTTGGATATGTCCTAAACATGTCTACCATACAACTTCTTGAAAGCTTTACTGAGTCCTTGTATCTGTGCCCTTTGAATAATTTACTTTTTAAGCCTTGATTGTGAAGGTCACAGAGTATTGTATTCGAGGAACGTTGACATGATGTTCAAATTTGCTTGCGGACAACAACTCAATTAAAACTCCTAAAATAAGGAACAGAATGGATGCTTTCATTTACATACATGCATATAGACGACGTTAGCTCCATTTCACGTAAGAAATCAGTTGAAAGATTGTATAGAAGCATAAATAGTCAATCAAGCTTTTGGAAACAGATAAGATCATTACAAAACAAACCCAGACAGAAGAATCATATAACGAAAGCAGAAAGGCTTTGCCATTTTAGAGAGTTTTTGCAAATGACAATGTTTTTTCTCCTCACTTAGATGATGAAAATGAACTCAGTTCTGTTCAGTTTACAGATATTGATGAATTCATACTAAATTCTACGATAACTGAACATGAAATTACATCATCAATAAAAAAGTTAAAAAAAGAAAATCTGCCGGGCCCGATCAAGTGCTGATAGAAATGCTGAAATGTTCCCAATTGGATATAATACCATTTCTCCATAAATGTTTCAACAAACTCTTTGATAATCAAATATTTCCAAGCAGTTGGTCGTGTTCAGAAATAGTCCCTCTACATAAAAAAGGCGATCCGAGTAACCCTGACAACTACAGGGGGATCTCATTAATGAGTGTTCTGGGGAAAATTTTTACCCTGGGCGAATATGAGAGATAAGATACCGGAAGTTCAAGCTGGTTTTAGAAAAAATTATTCAACCATAGATCATATTTTTACATTATATGCTGCAATTCAAAAATGTCTAACACGTCGTAAACACAAGGTTTACGTTACTTTTTGATTTTAAAAAGGCATTTGATACAGTTGATCGTTATAAATTATTGTGTTGTTTAAGAAAAGCTGGACTACAAGGGAAGATATTTGATATACTACAATCAATGTATTCAAATATCAAGTCATGTGTACGTAGTGATTGTGGTGTTACTGAT